TGCCCACTTCTGAATCGTAGGTTCTTCTACTTTAGGAATCAGCAGTCTCGTCTCCTCGCTTCGTGTCATTGTGTTTGCACTCTCAGCGACTGGACAGCAGTATCGTGGACTATCAACTTTATATTAATGTGCCCCTTCCTCTTAGCAGTATTACGGAGAAGAGGTGACAAGGTCAAGGTTCAAAGTCTCGTCCCTCCGGTCAGTGGGGTGTGTGTGCTTATGCATACAAGAGACACTACATTCGTCTTCGTTCATCACAGGAATGAGTCAGGCATTTTGCTGGTGGGTTTATAAAAATTCTGGTAGTCGTTGAATCATGTTCTACCCGATTAAGGAAACACAGGGAATTTGTTATGAATTACAAGTATTTTAGCTTCTAACGTGACTGTACCTACGTTTCATATTTAATATCTCATATTGTTAATTTGGACGTGGCTGTAAAGTGGAAACGTCGTTGAATCAACTGGTACGATCTCGGTATGGATACATATGTGTACGTTTATATTATGTACTTCTTTTTAAATAATATATACACCTTTAATAAATTACTACCTGTCACGCACAATAATGGCTGTGTATCACATACGCGAAGTCTTCGAAATGAGATTCGAAGTTCTCACAGAGCGGCGGTGAAGATGTCATTGTTGGTTTTCTGCGAATTAACGACGCCATGCAGATACCAGGGTTTCGGAGAAACATGCTGTCTCCATCTTCAGGGCTGAAGATGGTAGATGCATAGTCAACTTCACCTCTACTAGAATTGCTAAAAATGACAGTTGTATGGAGTTGGCTATTCACCCTGTTACTGTATAATCCAAAAGTTCATCACCGCAGCAACACAAGTCCACAACTCTACTCAGTACAATTCTCTCACCATGATTTATGTTTAATGTTTTTATTCTAACCGAAGAGGTTTCCCCACCAAAATCATGTGGTGATTGCTTTATGGGTGCTTTGGAACAAATAAATACCTAGTGGTGTGTCAGCAGTGCTCAGGGAAATATTGGAACGACATAACAGGGGTTAGAACGTCGAAGGAGGTATGGAAAAAACAGGAAGACGAATCTTCGGGAAATTGGTTGGAGGGTTGGAGGTATAAATGAGATTGTCTTATGATCGTGTTTCATGGTGGGCTTTGATATTGTTGATGTTGAAACCTAGCATTCCGCGACTAAAGAATTATAGAGGATATTCCATAATGAGGAACTTGACGATTTGTAAAGTTATACATTAATATTGATATGGCAGTGAAACTGAGGACGTTCCCATTGGCTGAATATGTATCGGAAGATGCGTCTGTAAAGAATTTTGGTGCAAAAACCTGTTGGAAGTGGCCGCGAGGTTGCCATTCCCACGCGAGGCATGTACGTACGTACGCATGTATTCATCCATGCATGAATACATGTTTGTGCTGTTCTTTAGGTAACAACCTTTGCGTTAACCTATCGTACGGAAAGTCAAAAAAGGATTTGCAGTTTCTGAATTGGAGCAGGATAAAGGAACGAATCCATAAAAGCTGATGATGGAAAAAGAAACGTAAAGTGGGCACAGAATAACTCCGAGCTTGAGTTACGTCACAGTAAGATGGGAAAGGGTGATGAAAAGAGAAAGGGGGAGTAAGACAGGAAAGTTATCTGAGCACGTGCAGTGCAAATGAAAACATCTTCTCTTTTAATTTAGACGCAATCGGCGGCATTTTAATTCATTGACTTGTGCATTGCACTGTATTTTATGAACCAAAGGACGTATAAAAACAACCAGTGAAGGCGGACGCCTCGAACCGCACGCGTTACTTCGCGATCTCCCCCTGACGCTGACGCGTGTATTTGTAACGGCCAACGATGCTTGGAGTTATGTTGGACGTGTACTGGATCAGTAAATCGAGGAGCACAAGTAGGGCTGTGCTGAACTTCTTGTGTGGCAATTTCTTTATCTGCATCGTGACCCTGACCATCAGGCCGCCGGCATGCGTCATCCGACTGCGGTCAACATATTTACAACGGTACCCGGAAATGGCGGTTCTGATGGCTACTGAAAGTGACATGAAAATAAAAGTTTAATTTTCAAGACAGTTGTGATAATTGCACGAATAAACATTTTTTGATTGTGGTCTGCAGTTGCTCTGGTCAGTCTTTCAGAACGTATCCTGAACCACTTCCCTGGATCTTCATTATTTGTACTTTAACCAAGATATTATTGTGTTGAAATGAAGGAATACAGAATGAGCGGAAGCGATGAGGGATGTACTCACAATTTTGGCCGGAAAAACTGAAAGGAATGGATTATTTGGAACACACAGGCGTAAATTGGAGGAGAGTTTTTTTAAGGTCTGAGACGCTGGGATGTGGATTGGATTCAGCTGTCCCAAGGTAGGCTCGGTGATAGAATTTTTTGAACAGAGACATTCAACCTTCTGTTCCATAAAAGGTGGGAAATCCATTTACTAGCTAAGCTACTATAAACTTTCCAAAGGATTCTCCTGCACGGATTTGGTCGTTTGGTTAGTCAGACTTCTGACTTATATATCATCACAGTGAAAACATTTGAGGCACATTTCTGTCAAAAAGTTCGAGTTCAACTTTGTAACAGAAATAATTATAAATCATTTCATGCTTTGGGCATCAGACAATAGGAGTTGTCATTTTCTAAAAGGCGTATGTGCGTATTTTAAAATGTCTTAAAACTGTACTAACACTAGTGTATTTTCAGATTTCAGTCGTTTGTGGGGGGGGGAGGTGTTCATCATTGATTATCATCGTAACAAAAGTTAGGGGAGTGAGGTTGGTGGGGTATGTAGCATGCATGGATTGGATAAGAAATGCGTACAAAATTGTCGTGAAACCTGATGGGAAGATATGAATTGGGGAGACCCAGGGTTAGATTGGAGCATAAAACATTGCAATGTATTAAAATGCCAGGGTCCAGATGCGAACATGGAAATGAGCCTTCACGTTCCATAAAAAATTTCTTATCAGGTGAGCGATGATTGGTTTCTCAAGGACTCTTTCTTGTCACTGAGGATTTCACAAGCGACATCTGCTGGCGGAGTGCGAAACTCAACTCAGAAGAAGGACTGTAATATACTGCGTTCCAGCGTTTTTGGCCGCTGAACTTTGTGAATTGGAACTTCGGAGCGAGTCACTTACCAGACGTTTGCTGGAAGGGATGGCAGCAGGCCGCGTACAGTACACTCCGTAAGTGTCAGAACGTCACAAAAATTTTCAAAACGTTACCTAACCTAACAAAATCCACGAAACAATCTTAACCTAACCTACCCAACTAAACCTAACCTAACCTAACCTAACCCAACCTATCCTAACCTGACCTGTCGTAACTTCAACTAACTTAGTTCAAAGTAGCCAGAATTAGCCGAGCCTTACGTAACATAATGTGAGCGTGCCGAAGCGTGACTTAGTGACCACGCGTGCCCAAGCGTGACAAATCGTGACCATGCGTGTCCTGATTTGACTTCGTGACAAGGGATCACCGTATGTGTCGAAACGTGACGAAGATTTAGAAAGCGTGACAAAGCGTGACTAGGCGTGACGTGCTATAAAGGCGTGACGAGAGGTCACCATAAATGTTAAAATACGACGACAATTTGAAAAGTGTGCTTAAGCGTGACCAAGCGTGACAAAGCGTGACAAAGCGTGACGTACTGTAACCGCTTGACGAATTGTGGCCGTAAGTGTCAAAACGTCACGAAAATTTTCAAAACGTTACCTAACCTAACAAAATCCACTAAGCAAACCTAACATAACTTACCCTAACACAGCAAAACCTAACCCAAACTAACCTAAGTTAACCTAGTCTAACCTAACCCAACCATTCCTAACCTAACCTGTCGTAACTTCATCTAACGTATTGCAAAGTTGCAAAAATTAACCGATCCGTACGCAACAAAACGTAAGCGTGTCGAAGCGTGAATTATTGACCATGCGTGCCCAAGCGTGATAAAGCGTGACTAGTAGTGACCTGCTATAAGTAAGTGTTAGAACACGACTAAGAATTGAAAAGTGTTCCTAAGCGTGAACAAGCGTGATAAAGCGTGACCAGGCGTGACGTACTGTAACGGCGTGACGAAGCGTAGAAATATATATTCATCGCCCTGATGACGGAGGCAGTATGACCTCTGAAACGTTGGTTAACATCGACCAGACTACACAGCGCAATAACCCAGAAGACAGAAATCTTCGTAGAAATAAATTTTGTTTCCCTCCACTTGTAAGTCAAGGATTGTTGAAAGCCCAATTTCACAAGTTATATGAGGACCTTCGTATGTATCCAAAGAAAATATTCAGATACTTTGTCTATTTGTCAATTTGCTCGAGTTCGGCAGTAGAGCTTCACAGAATTCTATCCATAGTTTCTCTTTAGTTTTTGTCACTGTACTCCCATATGGCCGAACTGTATAGTTCCGACCTTTTTTCCCTTTCAGTTACACCAAGGTCCGGCAAAGAATGTTCGTCGTGCCCGCACACAGATAGGGTTCTTCGTGTTCTATTGCTACCGCCATTAGCTGTGCGGCCACGTATACGAGGTGCGATCGGAAAGTTTCAAGACTGCGTGTATAAAAAACCCGTACACTTATCTCAGGTATTAAATTCATCCATCACCCTCGAAGTAGTTCCCCTGGGAGTGAACACAACGATCCCAGCGCCGCTGCCAAGCCTGGAAGCATCCCTGGAAATCTTTCTTTGTCAGCCTGTCAAGCACCATCTGCGATTCTGCCTGAATCTCTTCTATCGCCTCAAATCTCCTTCCCTTTAGCTGAATGTTCATCTTTGGGAAGAGGAAGAAGTCACACGGAGCTAAATCCGGCGAATAAGGAGGGTGCGGGATGACGGCCATAGTGTTTGAGGCCAAAAACTGCCGAACTTTGAAGGCGGTGTGCGCTGGTGCGTTGTCATGATGCGTCGCATGTGGAGTTCTTCCTTTAGAATCAGCTGACAGGTCCCATAGCCTATCCCAACAA